TCAAAGTGGTATATCGATAAGATACGGTATAAAATTGAATTGCAGACTTTACATTAGACCGAGGTTAGGGACTATACCCTATGTTGCGAATATAAACAACTTAATAGTGCTTAAGATAATTTAGGAAATACTTGATATTCACTGTTGCTTTTAATTTTAACGAGAAACCTTGATTTCTTTAATTTTTACACCAGTAACCCCTGCACCAAAAGCACAGAAGAAGAAACGTTCTCGCTTGCAGTCGCAGAACTGCTGTGTGTAACAGCAGTCAGTTTTCACATATTTTAATGTCTATGCATTGCAGTTGTTAGTATTTATTATTATCTCTCGTTGATGGAATGGATTTTGTTAATCTCAGTCAACACAATACAGTCCGAAATGAACTTGACCATACGCTGGATTTGGTATTTTGCAACGGTGAAAATGATTTCGATATCGACGAATTCGCTGTGTCACATTTACCTATTGATGCTCACCATCCTCCCTTAATTCTGTCGCTACCTGCTCTACTTGACTGGCCATCTCACCCAGCTTCCAACGTGGATGATAGAGCAGGGCTTCTAGACTTCAAGAAAATTGATTATGTCTCATTACTGCTGTATCTTTTTGATCAAGACTGGGCCGATGTGTTTGAATGCATTGATGTTGATGAGATGACTGTGCGTTTCGGTAGCATTATTCAACATTGGTTGGAATAAAATGTTCCTCTCAAAAGACGACCAATTTCCCCAGATTAGTGTACTCCTCATCTTAGAGTGCTGAAGCGTGAGCGTAACGCAGTCCAGAGAAAACTACGTCGTCACAGAACAGCTGACACGAAGCATGACTTCAAGCGTGCCAGTATCGCTTACATTAAACTGAACAGTACCTTATACAAATCACACGTCCTCAGAGTCCAGTGGAATTTGCGGGTTAACTCCGAAACAACAAAAGGAAAGATTCGAGTATACCGTCCAACATGCTACTCGACTTCTCTTAGCGAAGCGTGTAAGATGTTTGCAAAACACTTTGCATCTGTCTTCGATAAAAATATGACAAGTGCCGTTGAAGCTGAATCTTCTGCCTCTGATACGCCTAGTGACTTGGTGGAACTGAGCACATTCGAAGTAACTCGGGATATGGTACTTCAGCAGCAAGGAGACTGAAAACCTCACTCTCTCCTGGTCCAGATCGAATTCTGCCTTAGCAGATGGAGCAGAACCTTAGCAGCCATATTTAATGCATCCTTTGAGCAAGGAAAATTCCCAACATTGTGGAAGCAGTCGTATATGTTTCCTGTTTTGGAAGCTGGCAACAAACGGAATATTAAGAACTATCGAGGTATCCCCAGTCTTTTGGCAGCGTCCAAACTGTTTGAGATCATCTTGAGCGAATTTGTCCTGAATCGTTTGAAGAACTACATTTCAACTGACCAGCATGGATTTAATCCCGGTAGATCGGTAGCTACTAACCTTGTGGATTTCACCAGTACATGCATCACCGCGATGAAGGATAAGGCACAAGTCGACGTCATATATACTAATCTGAAAGCCGTATTCGACAAAATCGACCAGAAGGTTTTGTTATGCAAGCTTTCCCGACTAGGAGCGTCTGAGCAACTTAGGTCGTGGTTACATTCCTACTTGACTGGACGAACTCTTCGACCTCAGGGATGTAACCTGGGTCCACTTTTGTTTACGTTATTCTTCAACGATGTAGCAGCTTTGTTGGGAGTTAACTGCAAGCTCGTATATGCAGATGATCTTAAACTATACGTCATAGTTCACTCGATTGAGGATTGTCATCAAGCTCTGCTAGATTTGTTTGTGGATTGGTTCCGTCACAATAAGCTCATCATCAGCGTTCCAAAGTGTGCAGTGATGACGTTTCACCGCTCTAAGAGTTTAATCCTTTACGACTACTGCATTGACAATGTAACGCTTCGCACAGTAGAACTTATGATTGATCTTGGTGTTCTTTTGAACCCAAAGTTGACCTTCAATCTTCGCTATTCCTCGATCATCTCTAAGACGAATTGTCAACTGGGATTTATTACGCAGATTGCACGAGCTTTCAAAGTCCCTCACTGCTTGAAGGCACTATATTGCTCTTTTGTTCGGAACATACTTGAGAATGCATCTGTGGTCTGGTCTCCATATGAGCTGATGTGGAATCTCCGAATAGAACGTGTTCAGAAAAGATTTTTGAGGTTGGCTTTACGTACGGTCCAATGAATTTACCACCTTATACAGACCGATGCTTGCTATTGGACCTGGGCACATTGGAACACAGAAGAAAAATGCAACAAGCCTTATTTGTAACGAAACTTTTAAATGGCGATGTGGACTGCTTCCACAAATAAACTTCCGTGTTCCTCAAAGGATGTTGCGGCAATCATCCTTGCTACAACCAAGATTGACTTTTTTGTTGTCCTCTGATTAAAAGTATAGAATATACTTATACCCTAACACGTCTTAATTTTTTGGTACCACCCTCTATATGAATTTTGGTATGTTGTCCCGATGATGGTCGTATGCTGCCTAACTAAAGCATGTTACGATATTGCTGTCTGAGAGTTTTTTGTTGGAAACAATTAGGGGAACGTTTTTCTAGAATATTTAAAAACGATATATCGCCGTCTTACCCCTCGTTTGGGTGATTTTGAAAATTGAGCACCCCCCGTCAAAAATATAAAACGCGATTATCATACTTTCAATAATTGGTCGGAATCTTAGAGACCGATTTGTTCCAAGACAATTATGAATCACATCTTTAACGCATCTCCAGGCAATTTGTTCCTTTGGCAAAATATTGTTTTTGAAGACTGTACTCTTCACTAGCTTCCTGATATCCGGGCCATTAGGCATTCCTGCCGAACGAATAAAATTAAGATTATTCTATCATATAGATATTTACTTGCTACCTTTTTTAAGTTAAGCTGGTCTTAGTTTCGGGAACACGTCACGTAAACATAGAAACGCTGGCATTTCCTTGTCCAATGACTTAATAAAGTTTTTAACTATCCCTAGAATGATATGAAGGGAGGAAACAAGATTCAGTCTCTGGGAACGAGTGGTGGGTGGATTACATTAGATTTCCTTAGCTGGTGTTTACCACGTATTTCCCAATTAGGTTTCAGTATACGACCATCATCTGGACAACATATCAAACTTCATAAAGAGGGCGGTACCAAAAAGTTAGGATGTGTTAGGATATAAGTATGTTCTAGACTTTAACTCAGGGGACAAGAAGAAAGTCAAATATGGTAATTGGGGGTACCCAATTTGAAAAAAAAAATCACCGTAACGAGGGGTAAGACAACGTGATATCGTTTTCAAATATTCTAGAAAAATGTTCCTCAAATAATTGTCTAAGAAAAACTCTTCGACGGTAATGTCGTAACATGCTTTATTTAGGCAGTATACGACCGATATCGGGACAACATACCAAACTTCATAAAGAGGGTGGTACCACAAAATTAGGACGTGGATATAGGTATGTTCAGGACTTTTACTCAGAAGTCTACAAGAAAGTCAAATATGGTCAATTTTCTCAGTCCTAGAAAAAAGTTCCGATTTGTTGCACAGTGTCATCAAACATTTGCGGAAATTCAAATAAATTTTCAATAAAATTTATGGAAGCATTTAAATATTCATATAACAAATGTTTACTTGTTGGCTACAAACCTAATTTATAAAACCAGGAAATTTTCGAACCATTGACCAGGAAAACCAGGGAAAAATCTGGAACATTAGAATGGAAATTTCAAAAGTGCGGTAACATTAGCGTATTTGTTTCGGTTGGCTGCCGGGTCTGCTATTTGTCCAATTTTGTTGTTAACAATCCTAGTTCATTTAATAAAACTTACTAACTGTACGGTTACTTTCCTATTGCGTAAAAATCCATGTGACCTCACGGTACATTACTACCTCGACAGCCTGACTGGTTATCATCATCCGATCCGATCGCTGGATGAATCACGGTGGAATCCCCCATTCAAAACAAACACTCTAGCCATGATGGACATCAGCGAGACAATAATAATGGGCACGACTAATTTGCATTTCACTCACCGCCGCGCCCGCGCACCGACCATACCGTAAGCTGGGAAAGGTTGAGAGACCATCATAAACGGGTGCCCCGTCGTTCGTCTTTGTCGTGTTCATGTATGAATCATGAAATCGAGCATAAAAGCACCCGTCAGGGAATCTTTTAAGCATCTTAGAGAGGCGGTCTGTGGTGGGTAAAATCCCATCACAGTTCCACTATTGCACGTACGCATTCCCAAGAAACACGGTCACTTCCGGCTCACCCACAGTCAATTAGCATTTTGTCCATCTCAAACTTTAAAAGGAATCACTTTTGAAAGGCCATGAAATCGATTCGTTTTCCTTTTTAAAGAAACATTGTTCTTTGAGTATTCATAAAAAAGGATCTGAAAATGGACCACCACCACCACCCTGGGTTGAATTCAATAGCTCGCAGTGCGCATGCCTGGTTTTGAAGAAAGATGGCTCCCCCGTTGAGTGCGCATCTATTTATACGCAGTCGAGATTTGTGCAAAACTCATCCCTCTGTCCGAACGCCTACCGAGCAAAAAAAAACGAATAATGATCATCATGTGTCTCAGTTGCCCTAGGCAAAAACTGCACTTCACCCCCGGCCCGACACAAGTCGGAAGTGTCGCTCGGAAAATCGATAACCGTTCAAAAACAGTCCATCATGTGCTCTCACACACGGTTTGTCCCTTCTTCGTCCAATTCGAAACACGTTCCAACGAACGGGCAATAAATCATTCCGGTTTCGTGCTGTTTGTCAGTTTTCGAGAACTGAAAATTTCCACAAGCACTGACGGTCGGTCAATACCCAGAAGGAGCACAGAGAAAAAAATACCCGCCCTAACAAATTCGATTCGTCGCACCGTTTTCAAATTGCGCCCCCAATTATACGCGCCTAATTGACTTGTCAATGTCGAGAATGGAACATCTCTTATAGCTAAATTAAATGCAGTGATTACCCACCTTGCCGTGTTCCTTGTCAAAGTCGCACTCCTTCTCCAGGCCCAAGTGGGCCGGATGGTGGTGATGGTGATGGTGCGGGTGATGATAGAGACCGTGATTGGGGTTGAACACTAGCTGAACGTTGATACCGGTGGTGGAGAACGAGATCTCGGTGTGACCCTCGCAGCAGCCGGCTCGGAAGCGCCCACGGCGTTCCTCGATCGGACGATCGCGGAAACCGGTATATCGAACCTAGGAGGAAGAACAGAAGCAAATAGATTGCGTCATTGTTAGTTACTCACGGAATTTCAACCGATAAGCAGTCAGTTTTCGTTAAAAGCGAACGTGACACGTTGTTGGTCGCTGTAGACACGCCGTCGATGCCGGCTTGGCTGCACACCTTCCATGACGTCGATTCGTATGTACGTATGTACGGAAGGTAATCCCATCGAGCGGCTGTAAAACGTAGGTTTGCGGTAATCCCGTTCGATCGATTTTGTCAAGCGGTGATTTTTGCTATTCGATTGGGATTGATGACATAATGTCACGTTCGAACGATTATGGAAAATCCAGATTCTAATTTGCTGTTGGATATTTGCAGTGATGTACTGATAAGAATAATTTATGCGTAATAATAAACTCAATTTTCAACGGACCATCGAGCTAGTGAGGGTATTAAGAAAGCAAGAATTGACTGTACAGTGTACATATATTAGAGCGGTTCAAATTATCCAGACACAAGTATTACAGTGCTTTCCCGATTTTGTCTACCCCCGATTTAGTCAGCCTGAAGATTTAGGTGAACTTTTTGGTTTTTAAGCATGCATTCTCAAGCATTTCGCTCCAAATTACACTCAATTGTTTTGACGCAACAATAACAGAGGTAACTCAAATAAACCTCAATTATTGCGACACTGCACAGCTGTATCGAGTCCCTCCCGATAAAGGTAACTAGGGGGCGAATATAGCTGGGATGGCTGCAATACAAGATATGGGCATATACCCCATTCAAGAAGATGGTTTCGTGATCGCCAAAATAAACGGAATATTCATATGTAGTTGCTACGCACCCTCTAGATGGACGATGGAGCAGTTCCACGAGAAGCTGGTTGGACTTACCGAAGAGCTGATCGGACGAAGACCGGTAGTCATTGGAGGATACTGTGGCAGTACAAAGGACAAGAACTTGCGACCTGAAGTGGAAGACGAGTTGACAGAATCGTTAGGGAGAGCATGTGACACGACCATGCCGAGGAAACTGGAGGTAAATAACAGACGGTAAGCTTACTGCTGCAATGCCTCCGCGCTAGTTGTCTCAGAGCCAGAAGACGTTTCAGAGAGCAAGACCGGAAGCAAACAGAGAGGAACGTAGAGGAATGTTCCGCGCACATAAACGAGAGATAAAGCAGAGCAAGTCAAACTGTCAACTGGAGCTGGGTCGAAACGCTGCTGCCAACGACGCACACCGTGTCGTGATGACGAAGATCAGATGTCAAGTCATGCCCGCTGAAATGTGCCTGAAAGTCATCGTGGAAGGACTTTTCTCGAAGCACGATCCAACGACCTGGACACGTACATCGTACGGAGACGGAGAGGGAGATAGCGACGAAGTCACCAACGAGCAACTCGTAGCAGTGCCTGCTGGATACACTTGAAAACTCTTGGAGAGGATCATCCTAAACAGGCTGACGAAATGCATGGAGAGTGAGCAGGATTTCGAAAAGGAAGAGTAAAAGTGGATGCAATTCGGACAGTTGTCGAGATAACCGAGAAGGCGTCGCAACAGAAGTGGAGAGGAGATCGATATTACGCCGTGATAACGATCGACGTTAAGAATGCGTTCAACAGTTACAACTGGGAGGCCGACGCTACTTCCAGAACCGGGTTCTGATCTACGAGCCAAATATGGGACAGAGATCGATTAGGATCACGGTGAGAGTTCCACAAGGCTCCTTGGTCCAACGCTCTGGAACGTGACTAAAAACGGTCTAACGCTGAAGCTACTCAAACGAGTTGAGATCGTTGGCTTTGCGGACGACATCGTCTTTAAGATGGGTTTAGACTAGGCAAGTCGAAAGATCAACTTAGTTGAATTCAATTGGCTTGAAAAGTTGAACCTGGTTCAACTTTTTTCAATTCAAGTGAGTAGAATGGCATGGTTTACACGTTCAATTCGCGTTCAAGTCAGATGAGTTCAACTGACTTGATCAATTGACTTGCCCTGTCTAAACCCACCTTTATGCTGGGTTTAGACTAGGCAAGTCAAATGATCAACTTAGTTGAATTCAATTGGCTTGAAAAGTTGAGCCTGGTTAAACTTTTTTTCAATTCAAGTGAGTTGTTCAAGTCAGTTGAATGGCATGGTTTACACGTTCAATTTGCGTTCAACTGACTTGATCAATTGACTTGCCCTGTCTACACCCAACTTTACGGTATCAGGCAAGACGCTGGAATAGATGGAAATGTTGGCGACCGAGGCGGTCGACATGATTGGAGCGAAGCTGCAGATAGCCCACAACAAATGCGAGGTGGTATTGATCAGTAACTTTGAAGCGCTGCAGCGGTCAGAAATTACCGTTGGGGAGCACCCATTAAACTAGAAGTGCGTGTTGAAACGCCTGGGAGTGATGGTCGACGACCGTTTGGCTTCAATAGCCACTTAGAATACGCCTACGAGAAGGCAGCGAAGGCCATCAACGCGGACGTTTGGTGTACCCTTTGTTGTAAGAATAGTAAACAGATATCAGTAATTCCCCTAATAGTGGATAAATAATGGTCAAACTTGATTTCAAAATAATTTTGATGGTTAAAATCAGGGTTACTTCCACTCACTTGCTATAAAAAATTGTTTTTCAGAATTATGTAATCATTAGATGTTATAATGATAATTAGTACTTGTGAGCTACAAGAAAAGGTCGTTAAGTATGTGTTTGACACATGAAACCTGTCAATATTGCTTTCAGTGCGTCGCAATCAGCGATTTTACGATTCGTGAGCGCTCACTCTGAGTGAACGCTCACGAATCATACGATCGCTGATTGTGACGCTCTGCAAGTGAAATTGACAGGTTTTATGAGTCAAACACATACATTAACACCCTCTTCTTGTTACTACAAGAACAACAAATTGTTACATCATCTAATAATTTCATAATTCAGAAAAACAAATTTTTATAGCAAATGAGTGGAAGCAACCCTGCTTAAAATATTGAAGAAGTTTTACCCAATTTCATCAGCCTAAAATTTCAGATGGGGCTGACAAAAACGGGAAAGTACTGTAGTATTGAATTCTGAGCAGTGTTTCTATTTATCGTTTTTTTTGGCTACCGGGAATCAGCAAAAATAGGGAGGCTCTTCCCAGGAATTCTGGAAATAATAATATCTAGTAACCATATAGGTTAATCAGAATGTTCATGTTCATGTTATATTGAACAATACATAAAGAATTCTGGCATTCCTGAAATTGTCTTCTGACTTCCAAAGAGGTTTTATTTTTTTTCCTTTCTTAGAAGTTTCTTGCGGCATTGCCCGGAAGTTTCTGCCTTTTTACCGGAATCTTCTTCTATATTCCTCTGCATGTATTTTTACTTCCAATCATTTCCCTCATTAATTTCTCTTGGAAAGTTTTTCCGAACTCATTCCAAAGCTTATCTCGCTAGTTTCTTCGGACTTCTTCCGAAATTTTCAACCCATTTCCCGATGAATATTCGCCCGATTTATCCGAAGTTTCTCCCGTCATCGCACAGAATTATTTTTTTAGTGTTTTTTTTACAAATTGCCCCTTAAAACTCTTCTGGCTTACGTTGGAAGTTTTTCCGACATTCTACAGAAGCTTTCTGTGATCTATCCAGCTTCTTTCTTCCTCAGTAATCTTTTTCAACTTCAGGGATTTTTTTGGGTATCAAGCTGGAGCTGCGTGACAGCTTAGTTTTCAAGACTTAACCCATTTGAATTAATATTGCTTCTATATTTGACAATACAGCAGAAGAACTAGCCTATGCTGGCAGCTTGAATACTGGATTCCGTGTGTATTGTTCAAGATTGTTATGGAAACAATGCTGTGACGGGTGCGCGTAGATACATCCGCGTAGTAAACCGATTGAATAAGTAAATCCGTTTCGAACGAAATATCTAAATTATGTAAGTTACGAAAACCGCGCGAATTCCGAAAGTCATGCGAGAAAAAAAGGCTTATTATCATTTCAAGAGTGCCACCAAAATGTGTGATAAATGCATTCACAAAATCGACAAGAGAAAATATTTTGTATCCATTATTAAGTTCAATAAAATTTTAAAAACTATCCCATAAGAAAACAGGCAGATGTACCAATACTTGAGCTCAAAGACTCATTACAAAAGTAAATAAGTGAAATTGCTATAGCACATTTAAAAACATTTTCCATAAAACAAGAGAACTGATTAAGAAAGATATAATGCAGGCTTGATGGAGCCTCACTCGTGAGTCTGAAATGAGCTGAGCTCCTTTATCTGAGGAGTAGAATTTCTTCTCACAAATCATTATGCCGCCATTCATATTATTTTTTTTCTTTCACACGCTCCCACGGTACCACCCACCGCATATACGTAGCGAACGCTGTGTATCCTTTTCAAAACCACAATTTCTTAAAGAATAATAAACCAAATGAGCTGAAACTGTTCTCAATTGTAGTAAAACCAGAGCTCTTTTATATGTTTTTAGCTTTATTTTAAAAAAAATTGCCAGGTGATATACTCCTAGCCCAAGTAACAATTTTGGTTTTATGAGGGTTCTGGACACTATGATTTAGACTTGTAGCATGCTTTAAAACCTCGATAAAACTTGCAATGTAACTTGGGAGTATAATACATCATTTTTGCACAACAATTTGAAATTAGGTGATACCAAGGGGTAAGTCACTCAGCACTTTGTGCCGAAATTAGATTCAGCACAGCTTGGGCACACCCATCGGCACACCTTCGGCAGATCTTCGGCAAGCCTTCAACACAATCTCATAGGCATTGGATTGTGGTGAATAAAATTGAAGCTGTCCAGCAGTGCTGTCATTGAAGTGGTTCACAACATTACGTGCTGTTTGACTGCATGTTCAGGAACATCCTCTAATCGAATATACTAAAGGAACCCATACCAGCATACGAAATATAGGTTCTAGAGTGGGCTCAAGAGAAAGAGGCAGTCAATCAGACCCCATTAGTAACCTTAATTCAAATAATGCTACAACTCACACAAAACAAACTACAGAAGTCTATTCATCATCCTCCATAGTCGGTCTCCAACAATGTTCCCCCGAGTGTTCCCCACCGGTTCAAACTCTTTTCAGCCGCTGATAGACCGTTGCTTTTTACATCACGAAAGGCTAGGTTTCTGCTCTGCCTTTGATGGCATTATAAAACTCTAAAACACAGGACTTTTATTATCCTATGAACGCAAAACACCAAAATTTCGCACACTCGCCATTTCCCGCGTCATCCTCAATTCGATTTATCCTTGATTTCAATACCAGGTTGCCGGGATGGGTATTTTACAAACGATCACAGCTTGCTCTATGACCGGCAAAATCGGCTTACTTGCGGCACACTGACAAAAAAGATGACCCAAGGTTGGTGTGAGGAGTGACCTACCCCATGGGTGATACACTTTTGTCCACAGAGTACATAATCAGAACAAACAATAGTTCATCACCTTGCCATATTTTTAGATGTTGAAAAAAATACAACGGATGTAACTTTTTTCGTGCTGAATTGACTTTAGTAAAACCAGACGCATATAAAAGATCCATGTTTTGACTACAATTGAGCGATATTATAGTTCATTTGGTTTACTATGCTTCAATAAATTGCAGTTTCAAAAAATATGTACTAAAAAGAGGAGTTTTAGTTATATTGCTCAAACTTCATACAAATTCGTTAATTGAACACTGAAACTGAATTATACCGATGAGATTTCTGAAAATTGCATGTAAATCCGGAAAAGTTAATGATATTTTAATTTTTATGTAGAGATAAAAAAATTACTAGGTGATATACTTTTGTCCGATACTGTATTTGCTGCCAGGTAATAAATAGCAGCTAAATGTATATTGCTTTGAACATTATGAAAGATATTTTCAATATATGAAAAATGGCATAAATTGTTCAAAAATTATTGATTTCTACCTTGACGAAAGTCTGTCAACTCACTTAAATCGTATTTTTTGGTCAAATATTTTCAAATACCAATATTTGTAGCCTTTTATCCTATGCTATGTATGCGAATTGCACAAGCTAAATATCAGATTAATTTTGGCAAAAATCCGCGTAAAACGAATTCATGTAGCAGCAATATTACCTTGGTGCATCGCTCTAGCAATCAATCTGCATCAATATAAAAACAAAACAAATAACCCAATAATCGTCGCCCATAAAAAATATACTCACTTCACTATCCCGGCTGAGCTTCTTAAACAGATCATCAGTCTCGAATTTGTTTTTCTGATCCGGTACAACCCGTGGCATTTTGAAGATAAACCGTGGCTTTGGCTGCTCGTATAATCCAATCGTATCGAAGGGAATCATTCCCAAGGCAGCAGGATCGTTCATCATCTTGACTGCGATTTATGTTATCCGTATACAAACACACTTGCTCTCCCTTACAAGTAGAATTCCAAGCTGTAGCGGAGAAAACAAAGTCAAACTGTGATAGCACGATGACGCTGTAAAACACTACTACTGCAGTAGCAAGCAGTAAACCGGAAACGTCTGGCACAAACACACACACCCCCACACAACTGCAACGGGAGGCTTTCCAAAAGGGGGCTTTCTACCGACGACGTCACACCGATCGATAACGATTTATCTTCTTCACTGTTTTGATTCAAATCAACGCCACTACCCGGACCGATTCCGAGACCCGTCACGAACCAACGCTTTACGCAGACTGATGAGGAAATCGTTGCAGCGCTATTCAAGCGCGCCCCGTTCGAGACGGTTTATGTATTTGTCTCTGGGTTGTAGAGTGGGTTTATGTATAGTGAGCAAAAGCATGGGAGGGTGAGAAACTCCACCCATCCGGCTGTAAACATTACCGGCAGCAGCTCGGTCGTCGTGAGGGAAGTGAGGGAAACGCAGAGACTTGAATAGCGGGATGGGTGAGGAACGCGCATAGCCACGCCCTCCTCTAACGTCACGGTGGGGGAAGTTATGTACGAAAGGGTTTTTTTATGTGTTATGCTTTAGGGGAAACTGGACACACTTGGTCCCTCTCTGTTTTCTCGAAATCCTGAATAGTTTTTTCGGCTAAGCTTCCACAAAGTTTCGTCTAGACTTAAGGTTTATGCTATGGTGACATTTGCGTCAGATTGATGAAAGTTTATATTTTTAAGAGCTGTTCTTATGTTTTGACTCATCAAGAATTTTTTAGTCAGCGTGGAAAGTCTAAATAAGTTTTTCGATATTCAACCAAAAGGTATTCATTTTTCACAGTTCATAGCTTTGAATAAGTATAATCAATTACGATTTGGTGTTGTTTATTTTGATCTTATGTTCAATTTTATTAGAAGTTGAAAACTCAGTTAGAGGTGACTTGAATCCCCCAAGCATTAGACACACTTAATTCTGAGATATGAGAGTCAAAACAAAAATATAAACTCTGTGTGTGGAGAACTGTTTCAAGGGGAAAAATTAGGGGATCAAATTTCAGAAAATCTTGCTTTTAGAAATGTAGGGTCAATATCCATAATGTCGGTATAAGTGTTGTCCACATGACGCATGATTCTACAAAAAAATGAAGAACAAGAGATTTTTATCGATGAACCCAATCTCCAAAGATTAATATTAGAGCCATTTCCACTAGGGGAAACGCTCCTATAGTTGCGGTACGTTAGAAGCGTTAGGTTCCTATAGTTGTGCATGGAGACTCAATACACAACTATAGGAACCTAACGCTTCTAACGTACCGCAACTATAGGAGCGTTTCCCCTATATATCTTTCCAGATTTTTCAAAATGCGTTTTTAAACATGTTTCAGAAAAAATACGTATTTTTGGGAATTTATCACTTTGCATGCTTTTGAGTATTCATAAAGTTACATAAGGTATTTTCATCTGAGCCTGTGTATAAATCGCATCAAGTTTTGATTTTCCGCTAAGATATATCCAAAATTCAAACAGGGGATCAAGTGTGTCCGCTCGCCCCTATTGGAAGTTGTTGTTTCTTTATAAAGGAGACTTTCAGCCCAAGGCTGGTTCGTCTCAGGCAAGTCCCAACTGGAAGAAGTATTAGCATTATAGACATACGAGATTGTAAGGTTATTATTATGTCTGCAAAAAGTCTGTATGCTTGATGTTTTGAATTGAAAGGATAGGTAGATTAATGCATCAGAAGTTGACTTTCTAGTCGATTTGATACGGTAATGTTCACAGTAGGTAGGGTAAATTACGACTTCAACAGGCATTGATTGTTTTCGGCAACATTAACAAGTACGTACGTCTATACTAGATTTCGCAACACAACACATAATTCAATAGTTGGAGATACTTAACGTCCAATATCAGACTTTAAGTGGACATTTTATACGATCGATGAGGAGATGAAAGTAAAGAGTTGATAGTTCCGTTATAGTACGGCAGTATGGACATTGTAGACATTGTTGAGTAAAGAACAATTTTGAGTTAGTGTGTAAGGTTCTATTTGTTTTTTTTTTGACGGAGAAAAAACGAGATTTTTTCGTGAAATAAATCATACGTAAAACAAAATACTGCTACAGTGATTTCCCGATTTTGTCAGCCCCTTCTCAAATTTTAGGCTGCCAAAAAGGGGAAACTGATAAAATCGGGAAATTGAAATGTTGAATAGTTATGAGAAATTTTCGATGCAAAAACCTGAAACCATTGCAATTGCCTCGTGGGTAAATTACATTTTACTGCAGTGCCCAAGTAAAACTTCACGTTTGATGAGGCTTCTATAAAAAAAAAACTTTCATAAAACTCTGGTCAAGATAGCTTTCCCTTTATTACATCCACCAAAACCTCATTAAGACTAGAATCTGTCTACACATTTAAAAAATAATACCGAACTCGGTTTAATTTTCTACCAAACCTCTTCGGTTACCAACGAGAAACCGAATATATGGTTTAAAAAAAATTTCAGGCGTATTTATCGAATCGGTAAAATACTATAAATTTGACAGATAGAAATGAAGACTGAACCGAAAAGTAGGTAAAGTATCGACATTTATGAATTTGCTACGTGAAAACCGAGAAACTCGGTAAACTGAACCAAATATTCGCTAAAACGTGTCAAACGTCAAACGCTTAAACGTCAAACGTTCCACTTGCGCTCAACTTCGTGACGGAAATTTTAACCACAGTTCGCTTATCTAAGCTGAGTCTAAAATTAGTCTGCCATTTTTTTCTCGCGTGTGCTCGTCGGACGTGTGCAAAACTTTAGTAAAAATGGAAAAAGTTCTGGAGCAGCTGCAACAGGAAAATGCACTTTTGATTGAAATCTTTTGTAAGTATTTGAAACTAACGGTATGATTTTATTTGCAGGCATCTTGTGCTATAGTTTGTTTATACTGCCGTGAAAATGTACAAGGTTATATTAAGAATGACTTCAAAGTCAGTGATAATTTTTTTTCTGACTGTACTTTTTCACGCTGTAGCTCGCGTTAAGGAAGTTTTTATGCACCAAAACAATTTAACCGAATTCCGTAATTACAACAGGTGGGTCAGTTTGTCGACAGCGTTCGGTAATTCTTGAGTGAACCGATGTTCGGTTATTTCTGCTTAATTTTTTTTTTCGTCAACCGAGATTTTCAGTAACTTTGACAGATTGCGGGTTAAAAAAAGAACTAATGACAGCTCGGTTATTCCTCTTTGAACCGAACAGACTACCGAGCGTTCAGCAGATAAAAATTCGATTGAAATCAAACCGAGTTCGGTAATATTTTCTAAGTGTGTAGTTGGCCCACCCAAAAGAAGGTTCTAAAGAGTGTATTTTCGAGACATTTCAAGAATGACGTGCTGCAAAAAGTTTATTTGACGAATGCTTTAAAAACCATTTGAAATCCTTATTAAAAGCCATTTGGAATCAATACTTGCGCCATTTGCATTTGACGCTTGCTGAGCGCACTAAAAATAAAGCATCAATCAAGATAAAACGGGATAGGGGAAATGGATGTAATGTCGGCCTAAATGCCCCTAATTTGGGCCCATGTTGACCAAAAATATCCATTAAAACCGTCCCAATGACGCGTTCATCTAGATAAAATTGATAAATAGCAGAGTTTTAGCGATGGGCCCAATCTTAGATCCATAGGCCAACATTAGAGCCATTTTCCCTACATAAATATCATCCAATCTTGCCAAATTCATTGTTCAAAAATTAATTTGTCAAAAATCCTCGAAATTTCCTGATCATCAAAGGGAAATAAGTCCTAAAATGATCGAAACTCATATTGTGGTCTATTTTGGACAGATTAAATCTAATGTGAAATGTGAAAGATTTAACTAATTATTTTTAATTTAGGAAACAAAATATAGTTATTTGTTATGTTAATCATTGCTCCCAGCTGAGACAATTTGATGATTTTCGTAATCTCTATTAGTGCTTATTTATGAATCGATGAGAATAAAGTTATTTTAAAGGAAAAACATCTTGAAAACGAAGATTGAAAAAACAAATGGAGTAGTAACAATATGGCGATAGCATAAACATTAATTTTCCATGAACCATTTGTGAAAAAGCTGCTTTACTTTCATGAAATAGCTAACAAATGCAAAACACGTTGTAATGCGGTTTTTAAGAAGATAATTGGCAGACTGAATTGCATTTATCTGAAGCCATTTTGCTTGATCCTATTCCGTTTAGTTTTATGACGGCATTAATGGTGAAAAAGTTGCCTGGAAAAAGTTAAACGTCAAATTTGTTTATCTTACGATAATTTTGTTGTGCGCTCATTACAACAATGTTCTACTCCAGCGTTGGATCAACAAGTTGTTTGACATTCATGGTAAGGGTGATTTTCATCTATTGGAAGCAGGAAGTGTTTCTACGTAGCTCAATAGTTCCCGAAAAGCTTTCCTTCTTCCAGATTATGCGATGTGCGCTTGCTTGGAATTTTTGGAACCGTTAACCCTTTCGCCGAATGAAATCGTTGCTATGGTTCGGAAGGCAGCCAATTTCCAGCTGACAGACAGCTTCTTCTCAGTCGACTGCTCTGTTGTTGTTGTTGTTGTTGACCGGTTTTGTCGGAGCTGCGTGGCCTCCCAGGAAGTTCTGGAATTGGATTCCTTTTCTCTTCCGTCAACAGTATTGTTAGAATTATTAATCGACTATCCTTTGGCATTTTCTTGTGATTCTGCGTTTGAAAGGCCCACTCGATTATGTTTTTCTCTGTCTCTACACAGAAAAAATTCTAAATTTTAACTACCGATCAACCGAAATGAATGACCATACAAAGTATCATCAAATTTCTGATCAAAGCACAAAACTGACATCTGCCGCCGTGTTCGCGAAAAATGTTAATCCTAGCCACGAACACGCATACAAAATGTATGAGTTGGTTCGTGTCTAATCTATTCCGGGCAAATTATTTTTATCTAGATAACAAATCTCTATAGTTTTGACAGATGGGATCGCTGCACATTTGAATCCGCCATTATGGATTCTCAATCAAGAGTTAAATTTAAGTTTCATGTCGGTTTGTCGGTGTTTTAACTATCGCGTAAAATCTCCCTACGTTCAATTTTGAGCTATACTTGGCATAAACAGCGGAATCGTTTACAAGCTTGCATACAATATTGCTAATTTATGTAAATTTTTGTCAAATCTAGCGTTAATTTTATGTGCTCTATATCTCGCAGAAATTTACATGAATTTTTC